CTTTCAACAGCTCTTAAGTCCCACAATAGTAACAAGCTCTAATGATGTGGAACATCATAGTTATAATAGAGCGCATAAGCCTAATTTATATTTTTGTTTCTAGAATATTCTATTGACATTATATATACAAACAATGTTCCAAGCTCTAAATCATATTCCTACCAATTCATGAAATTGTTCTAATTATCCATCAATAAACCTTACCCAGCAACGGCTGAAAAAATCTTCTCCAACTATCCATATGCATTCCCTTCTATTCTTTAGATCTATATAGCAATTCTATACACAAAGACATCAGCTAAGAGCAAGGCCGGATCACTCCCAAGTTGCATAAATTTCCTATCAAAGAAGCCTCCCAAAGAAGGCAACCCAAGCCGGGCACTGTTTCTGGTCTCGGCCTCGCTCACTTTCTCACAAATTCGTCCTAAACTGTAAGACAATCGGAGAGCTCAGAGTGTTCACGAGGCCAAGGGAAAACTCATCTAAGCAATAGGGCCACTCTACCTCCATGGTTTTGGCCTTGGCTAATGGCCAGAGCTCTGCTAGGCAAAACGTCGATCACCTGTAGCTAGCTCACTCCAGCAGTCCTGCTTGTAAGGTGCGGGAAGCGTGCATGCTTTTTATTCCGTCAAATCTCTGTATTTTAGGAGAGATTATTAGGTGCGGAATGCGGACGAGAAGAATCGTCCGCACAAATATTAGGTATCTAGTGGTATCCGCACTCGGTACCGTTGGGTACCGCTATGTACCCAGTATTTGTGCGGACGATGCGCACTCCCCACCTAATAGTTTTTCGTATTTTACCAGTTAAGACAGCACACCCTCAATGCAGTTCAGCTTCTGCATGCCACGTAGGCAGAACTTTCCTCTATGATCCATGGCCACGTCACAACTTTTTTTTTGGGGGCAATTTTTTCCCAGCTTTGGTCAGAGTTCATGTGATAGGATGACTAGCTTGGTGGCATGACTTGGTCTGCAAGCAACGATCGGTCGACCGGCATGATGCCACCTTCAGCGCCTGTGGTTTGTTCAACTCTTTTTTTGTCGTAAGGCCAATTGTTAATTGATCATTGACTCTTTTGGCTTCATTAGGGCGTGATGATCATGTGGGATAAGGTAAGTAAAATTTTTGTGAGTCTTGAAAGCCTTAAAGGTTGAGTCATGTAAATAGTTTCGATGAGATTTTCAGGTATGAAGGCATTAATAACTTCAAGTTGTAGAATAGATCAACCAAAATATAATGCAACGGTAAAGAAAATCCTAATGGTTGGAAATTTTATAACATTACTGAAGGTCTCATGATAATCGATTATGTATTCATGTTTGAAACATTGACCGACTAAGTGAGCTTTGTAGCGAGCAATGTCGCCATTAGCATGCATGTCGTTTAATCTTATAGATCCATGCACTTACAACCAATGACTTGTTGATATTGTGGTGGAAGGACAATGGACCAGGTTAATTGGGATTGAAGAGTATAAAATTCAAAGGGCACATGGTTTGACGCCATTGAGGAAGCTTGGAGGTCGAAGTATAACAACTTAGAGTAGATTGTATAGTGTGGTGTAGATCTAGAATTTAAAGAGGTTTTAAATTGCCAGTATGGAGATGGGTGGTCATGGGATGATGTGGTGGTATGAGAAGAGGAGAGGAAATAGATGTGGAGGTGGCGGCAGAGATGAAATGAAGAGTTGCTGAGGAAGAATTAGATGTGAAAGAGTGTAATATTGCTTACAGCTGGAAGGGTTCATATAGAAGATTTTGTGGTGAGAATTTTGAAATGGAGGTTGTCAATTGCTCACTAGGCAATATGCTTTGTTGCTTAGTTCAGCAAAGTTCAAAACGGTGGGAAGAATTCATATGACAAGTTGAATTTGCATATAATTCTATGTCCAACCGATCCACAGGTCATTGCCCTTTTTCTATTGTTTATGTAAAACCCTTAAAAAAGCTTATTTTTTTTTTGTGATTGCTGTTAGTCCGGACGAACTGGCCTTAGTACGGGACGAACTGAAGAAAATTATGAAGAAATATGTCATTTTCGTATGTACAAACCTGGAACAGTCGGGACGAACTGAACCCGAGAGTTTCGTCCCGGGATGACGAAATTGGCATTTAATTTCGTCTGGACGATCTGGTTCACGATCAGTGTCCAGAGGAGTTCGTCCCGGGACGAATTTGGATCGTCCGGGACCATCCTGCTTGATAAGTATCGGATTTGAGATATTTTGAATTCATTTGGAGGAGAGAGAAAGAGAAGGAAAGTAAGGAAAACGCTTGGTTTTGGAGCCCGCGGAGCGCTTTTCGTCCGACGACGCAGTTGGAAAATTTGTTTGTCTCGCAGTAAGGAATCCGAATCCTATTTCTGTTTTCGAAGATTTCGAGTTTTGATAATTCTGTGCTCAGTTTTTTGTTTCCGTTACCGAAAAACACGCATAAGTTTGTATTGACGAAAGTTTTACCGCACAACTTTTGATATGTTTATGATATGATATTTTTACACGATTTGAGTATTTTCTGTATAGTTTCTATCGGGTATTTTGAGTTCTGTGCGATTTTTATCGAATAGAAAATTTTCAGGATGTTGGAAAATGTTGCTTCAGTACAAGTAAAGCTTTGTAACGTTGTTTTATTCGATTTCTGATAATTTGGTAATTTTTGGAAATTGTGCATTTTGAAACGACGTCTGTATACTATACAATATTTTAAGGGGTTTTTCTGCATTGTGCTAAATTGAATTTATTGATTGCAATACCTTATTGATATATATGCATATGAATGTGCTTATATGATTGAATTATTGTTATTGTTACTAAAAGACAAGTGAAGACTGGTTGAACCGTTGGTTGGAGATTGATTTGATCTGTACAGGATGGTGGGCCGACGGGCTTTCCTTTAAAAAGGGTTTGGCGATATCCTCTATTGATCATTGATATAACGATTGGGAGTCATAAGGAGTTTATGCCGACGGGCGGCCGACGGGCACAGAGTGACGACTCTTATTGAGCCAACGGATATAACGACACAACGATACATCGATACCGAAAAATGTCTTAATAGCCAGTTATTGTACTTGTTCAGTAAGACTACTATATTGAATTGCATGTGTATGGTATTGACCTATTGATTTTATTATGGATTCATGGATTTATTGATATCAACGGATTTGTATTGAAATTTATTTATTGACGGATTTACGGATTTACTGTTACTGTACGATTTCATTGATATTCGCATTATGTCACTGAGCATTGATACTGATACTGATATGGATATCGATATTGCATTGACTTATTGATACTATGGACATGGATACTATTGATTCATTGATACTATCACTCCATTGATACACCGTATTGAACTGTTGCATGTGATTCATTGACTTATATGGAATAGTAGGTTTTATTGTATTGATTTGATTTCAACCGTTCTTGCGATGTATCGGTTTAATTGTTTATATGATTTCATACCGATTGATGTTATTGACCAGAGATGATTGATTTAATTGATTTTATTGATACAATGTTGATTTAACTGATATTATCAAGACGACGATTTTTCTCTATCGATTTTACTGATGGATTTAACTGAGACTCTTTCGAATATAGATTTTTCTACTGTTTATGGATTCTTCAGAGATTTGACGTATGTACTGATTTATTGAACTTTTTGGATTTCTTCCTACTGTTTATCGATTCTTTTACCGATGATTGTGGATTGTATCGATCATGCATTGATTACTGATTTTCGTATCTGCTGCATAGATTTACTGATCATGTGCAATTGACTGTTATGGATTTGATTGATTGATTGACATGCATATTATTTTTGCACCGTGCTTTGATTTCAGTTGTAGGTAGTAGGTGACCTGCTGGGCTTTTTGAAGCTCATTATATGTGGTTAATATTTTCAGGTCTGGGCAAGGGAGCAGGAGATTGAGATTGATCTGGAATCTTCAGATTTTTGTCCTTTTTGGTTATAATGATTCTTTTGTACTCACGACAGGATATATTTCTTGTGTTTAATGTGTAGATCCTGAGTATTGTATATGAACTTTTGGAATATGAATAGAATTGTACATTGATATTTTAACTTATTGATTTTTGTTAAACTGTTTGTTATTGATTGAAGACTATAGATAGCTCTGGTAAATGATTGATGGTTTTAATAGATTGACTGAAATTCTTTCCAAGTTAGATCTTGGGGCGTTACAGTTTACACAAAGATGCCTAACCATCTTCTTGATCTTGCAGTCCTACCTAAATGCCACATCAATTCGACAGCCAAAGAAGCATCCCAATGTATTGAACTATTAAAGGATGTCAAAGAAAAATTGGAAGCATCTTATGGTCTCTATAGGCAACATGCTGACCAACACCGAAGACTTCAAGTCTTCAAATCGGGTGATCTAGTCATGCTCTGCTTCCGCAAGGAACATTTTCCATTGGCCAGCTATTCCAAACTCAATCCGAAGAAGATAGGACCATTACCCATCCTACGACACATTAACGATAATGCTTATATTGTGGACTTACCTCCATATTTCAAAACATCTACAACTTTTAATGTGGCCGCCAAATGAAACAGTTGTCACTAGCACCTCGCTGGAAGCAAGCCCTTTTGAAGTCGGGGAGACCTGATGCAGTGCACATGAGTCTAGGGACACGTGGCCACGTACAAGGAAACTCTAGCACCACTTTTATATCAGATTTTGTTAGAATTATCCTATTTTCAGTAATTAGAATTATCTTTTATTTCTCCTTGCTACGCCCAATATAGTATGGGGCATATTAATACTTGAAATCAACACAAGCGAAGGAGATGATATACAAATAATAGTATTTGAGTAGTGTTTTATTGTTTTTTCCCCTATTTTTCTTTTAACGTTTGCTCCCTCCAGTTCGCCGCACCATATGGTTTTAGTAGACCAGTTGTTTGAATTGAATCAAAATTGGAAAATGAAATTTAATAAGACTTAACAGTGAAATTTATTCGTACTGTCCATTCTACTCTGCATCTGACTGCCAATTGCAAGGGTCGCTGAAAAACCCGAACTTCTGGTTTAGGCCCGTTGCCGTAGGCCCGTAGCCATCGTATCACCATCTAGCGCCTCTGTTGACGCCGCATCACCGTCCACCGCCGTCGTGGCGGAATGCTAATTCACTGCCAGATCTGACCCGCTGCGGATCTCAACCTTCTGCCGGGAATGGCTTCTTCCTCGGAAGTCGATTCCCGCCTGAACCAGATCGTGATCCCCGCACTCGAGAAGATCATCAAGAATGCATCATGGCGTAAAGGACACTCCAAACTTGCACAGCAGTGCAAATCTCTCATCGACCGCCTGTCCGAGCCTCCCTCTTCTGCTTCTTCCCATCCTCCAGACTCCCCCGACTCCTCTTCTTCTATCCCTGGACCCCTTTCGGATCTTTCCTTCGTCGAATCCGAGGCCATCCTTGCCCCTTTGATATCCGCCTGCTCCTCCTCCTTCCTCAAGATCGCCGAGCCCGCCTTAGACTGCGTTCAGCGACTCATCTCCCATGCCCTCCTCCATGGAGAGGCTGACCCCGCCGCTGGACCTTCTGCCCGCCTCCTCGCTCAGCTCATCGACGCTTCCTGCAGCTGCCGATCCCTGGCCGACGACTCAGTGGAGCTCCTCGTCCTCAAGACACTACTCTCCGCCGTTACGTCCACATCCCTTCGCATCCACGGCGATTCCCTTCTCCTTATTGTCCGCACCATATACGACCTCTACCTCGCCTCTAAGAACTCCGTGAACCAGACAACTGCCAAGGCCTGTCTCATCCAGATGCTCGTCATCGTCTTCCGTCGGATGGAGGCTGACTCTTCTACCGTCCCCGTACAACCTATTGTGGTGGCTGATCTTATCGACCTCACTGCCGACCTCTCCTCAGGCGAAGGAAACCCTACTCAATTCGTACAGGGCTTCATTACAAGGATCATTAGTGACATTGACGGCGTCTTCAACCCGAGATCCACGCCCGACACTGGCGTCCATGACGGAACTTTTGAGTCCACGACGGTGGAGAGCACGAATCCGACGGATTTGCTTGATTCCACTGACAAGGATATGCTAGACGCCAAGTATTGGGAGATCAGCATGTACAAAACTGCTCTTGAGGGGAGAAAAGATGAGTTGGGAGGGCAGGGGGCGATGGTGGCCATAGAGAGGGATGATGACGATGAGGTGCAAATCGAAAACTGGTTGAGAAGAGATGCTTTTTTGGTTTTCCGGGCTTTATGTAAGCTCTCAATGAAGACACAACCCAAGGAGGCTTTAGCTGATCCTTCTCAGATGAAGGGAAAGATTGTAGCTCTGGAGCTACTCAAAATTTTGTTGGAGAATGCCGGTGCTATTTTTAGAACTAGTGAGAGGTATGAGCCTGTTCAATTTATTGTAGATTATGTTTTGTGCTGATGGATTGCATGATCATTGTGAACGTTAAGTACCATTTTTCAGACTCAAGCCATTCTTGCAAACTCAGTTACGTTATAGGGAAGTTGTATGCAAAACCCCTTTTTGTCTGGTGCTTTGGCTAATTTTGGGCAATTACAAAATTGGTTTATCTGCTTGTACAAGCAATAAGGAAATTTTATTGAGTTGATAAATTATTAAAAATACTACGAGCTACGTAATCTAATACTCATGCCATCATGTTTCCTTAACTTTATTGGTGGTTTTCTTCTTCAATAAAAAACATTTGTTGTCTTCTGCCTCCCTTAAATATATGTTTCAATCCTAGTGTTGTTGTCTTTT